TGATGCGCTCAGTTTTCCAACTTGCGCGTTGAAGTCACATCCAAGTACAACTATGTCGGAGCTTCGACTCATCCTATGCAGACACTGATGATCGAAGACTTCGGTTCATGGAAGTCTCCCATATTCAAAATCGGGGTCTAACAATGATGAAGCAGAACCGACTAAACAGTGCCATAGAATAAGTGATTCATTAAATTCAAGGGCGTCAACGGTGGTCCAGACTAGCCGATGTAGCTCAGATCTTGAATGAGCGCGGTCACCTCAATAACTGGTCTAACGTCATTAGAGACGTAACTACCTAGATAAGAACTAGGTAAATACAAGTAACTCTTGACTGTCTGGTATTCAATTAGAGGTAATCATCACCCACCCTTGCAGTATTACCTTGTCCATTGAAGATGTAAATTCCATGCCAAAGGGGATAAAGAAAAAATGTGTTAGACAATGTGGTGCGCTTTGCACGCTCTCCATACACTCGAAAAGAAAGACAATGTCGTTAGTGTATTCTAAATCCCATTGAGTTTCTCCAGTGGCCTAATCAATATCAATATTAAAGAGACCATTAGGAGAGTTCTCAAGTACTTTTGTTTACAGTAAAGTTGAACGTGAATAGTGAAGTAAAGCACCCTTCACAAATACCACTGCTAGTGACGAACATGCTGTTTAACTCATCGTGGACCCTAGCTGTACCAGTAGTATGCGAACACGGTGACCTCAATAGGTCAACATAAGTTTGGAGCATTCCATCTTGAGGAAACGAGCAGATCAGAGACTCGTGGTCAACTGAGTCGAAGACTCATTCCAGATCAAAGAACACTGCGAATGTACGTTGGCGGCATGCATGACGTAGCCCGAGGACTTGACGCAATGTAAGGATTTAATCAATCAGACCGCGACCTGGTTGTAATCCGGTGTGTTGTCATTCGTCAATTCACAGCGTCGGGTTGCGAAATACGACAGAAGACAATACTTCGATGACAATCCCGCTTTGCAGCTTCAAAGTGCAAAGCGATGCTGCAACACTTGGTGTCACCTCGTCCCGTTTTAAAACTAAATAACCAGGAATAATTTATAGTGGATTGCTTTTCCTACTTGGGTAGTTGTGTGACTAATGACAGTAGCGTAGCAAAGCAGGTAACCACCCGCACTTTCAAGGCTCGAGCAGTATACGCAGGACTGAAACACCTGTGGCATAGACGCAACGTTTCAGTGAAGTTGAAAGGTCATGTATTTTGCGCTACCGTTCGCTCGGTTCTTTTTTATGGTTGGCACGAGTAAACCATGTGGAAGTCAACAGATGACGTGGAGACGAGGCATGGAGAAATGCACAGAGCCATTAGATAGAATGGGTGAGTTGGGTTCGAAAGACTCCGCAACTGGTTGGTTGGAGACATTGAAGGATATGGCAACGATAGCAGTGGCGTTCTTGTTGTCATTTTTTATCAGGCCAGAATGCTTGAAACGGTACGTATATACAGCTAGATTGTATACTCTGTGTGCTGATTATCGAGGTTCACTTTCTTCCTCTTCTCCCAAAAACGGTGCAATCCCTGTTTGCCTTACATATTACCACTAACGTTGTATGCACTGCGAGTTTGATAGTGATTGGTGAAGCTCGCTTCACTATATTTCGCTGTACAATGATAATACCATTGAAGCCGCCTATCACCAAAGCTGAGGTGGAGACAGTGCAAAACATGACAAACTGTAGGAATCGTGCAACTTAGAACTTGATCTTAACAACTACAGCCATATTCAACATCGCTTATTCTGCTAGCACCCGAATTTGAGGCGGCATCTGAAAAGAAAACGCTTAAAATAGAGGAACAACCAGTACTTATTTGACAAAACAGTAAAAAATGTCGTGTTTCGAACAAAATTTGTCAAATACAAATTTTTAATCTAGCACTTGAACTAAGAACGGCTCTACAATATTTGGGGATGTGTAAAAGCATAGACCCATACAGAAAGAATAAAAACCGAACCTTTTCACTCCTGCTTTGATCCTGAACGCGATCGAGTTTCTCCAATTCCAAGCGTTGGACGGCCAGTTGCAAAGCGACTAATTCGCGTCCCTCCGAATCAAATCGCTGAGCGAAATCTTCCAATTCTTCGAGCACACTGATGACTTTGGGCATCAGAGTCGCCACCGAGTCCGGACCATACCGATCGATGATCGCCTCGAATTCCTTTCCGATTGATGCGGCGATATCGTAGACATCGAGTACGGTTATCGTTGGCGTATCTGGGAGACTTTTAACCGAATCATCAGCTGGAGTGGCCGCTTGCACATTCAAATCCGCCAGAGTGAAATACTGATCCGGTTTGTAAGATAGTACCGCGTGAGGAAACAGCTTGAAAGGTTACGGTCTAAACAGAATGGGAGAAGGTGTAATGTCCATTTAACGAGTGCGGTCAACCGTGGTTAGTTATCACTGGTGTTGAATAGCTCGTACAAAGAAATCAACCGGTGACCGACCAGAGCGATCATTGCACAACAATTGCGGTAAGAACGACAAATAATCTGACAAGAAGAATACACAGATTGGAATCCTTGTAAAATAATCAACTCCTATATGGTAATCTTCTCCGTGTACAACCTGTTTGTGAGTATCGTCTGAAATAAGAGCCTAATAACCTGTTACATGCCTCCAAAATCCTCAGTATAGTCGAGGGTAGGTGTTTCCGATTGCGCCTGGTTACACCTCTCCCTTGCACCTCGTGAAATGCTCCCATACGACCAAGGGTCTCAAACAGCTTCTGCTTATCATCATCATCAACATACAGCGAGATGCAGTGAAGCGAAATTCAGTGATCGCTGCCAAGATCACAATGTACACAGATTAAGTGAGGAAGTACAAGATAAAGAGGGATTGGGCCTAATTAAGGGGGGGGGAGGCAAAGAAAGTAAACCTCTATGGTGAACAGAAAGAGTACACAATCTAACTGTGCATACAGACCTTTTCATAAATTCTGGCCTGGTAAGAATTAACAGCGAGACCCCCACTGCTGCGATTAAGGAGTCTTTTGGACCCCAACCCAGAAGACGAGGGATACCTACTCTGCCTAATCGCGCTGTGCATTTCTTCATGCTTCGTCTCCACGTTATCTGTTGACCTCCACGCAGTTTCTTCCAGCTTGGAGTCTCATCGGTGAATAAGGCGCAGTGCGATAGACGATGTCTGGACATCCGTAATACGTGTCCTAATCAGCGAAGCCGACTAAACTGAATTCGATTGGACAGCAAATTCTCCATCGAATCATTACCAAATACACGACGAGTTACCTCAGGGTTGCTTACATGTCCGCTCCATCCAACCCGCACCAAACTACGTAAACATCGGCAGTGGAAAAATTCTGGACGGCGAATACCTTCCACGCGCAAATTAAGGGTTTTGAAACCGTAAATCAGAACTGACCGCACACTGGCACAATATACAAGACCTTCGAGTTTGGAAGAAATATCACGTCTGCACCGATGATGCTTCAGTCCTGCCCAATGTGCTCTAGAAATGCGAGTGGTTACTTCATTGGCTATGCTACCGTCATTTGTCACGCAGCCACCTAAGTAGGAGAAACACTCAAATATAGCTGACTTGACCCTCAAGCATTTGCGTCTGGGTAGACGACACCCACTCTTGTAACATCACTTTGCACATTGAAGGTGTAAAGCACATGCCCAATGAAGTTACAGAACTTGAAAGTCTGTCACGAGCTTCTTGAAGATCGGAACGACCAACGATTCCTCACAGGACAAAAGGATACGCTAGTCCGACCAAATGTAGTGAAGTAAGCTAGTAATCGAGTCGACAAGGAAATCAACGCCCACCTTGAAGAGAATGGAGAGAAGCGCATCAGGTCCCGCAGCCTTCCCTTTCCTTAATGATTGAATACAGCTTCA